GTTTGTTTGTGTGTGTGTGTTTGCTTGTTTGTTTGTGTGTTCACCTTTCCGCTTACGAGAGCAGAGTTTAACAAGCTATGGACAAGGTGGGTCTGTTTGTGTGTTTGCTTGTTTGTTCACCCTTCCACTTACAAACGCCGAGTTTAACAAGCTATGGACAAGGTGGGCCTGTTTGTTTGTTTGCTTGTTTGTTTGTTTGGTATAACAGGTAAACCACATTAAAGGTGTAACATAGCAGTTTCGTGGGTACAAGAGCTGAATGACACAGACCTGTTTGATCCATACCGGACTCTTACGCCCCGTTCACAGTGAAATTTGTCGATCCGGATCGGCCGCCGATCGGGATCAGAAATTTATGAATCCGGATCGGTCGTGCGTTCACACTGCTTTTCGCCGATCGGGATTGAAGCTATCTGCTTGGCATTTCACGGGAAATTTGTTCAAAGATGTCCTTGTTCTTGTGCACCGTCCCGAGTTTTCTCTGCGTGTCTTCCCGTCCCCAGAGGGAGATCAGGAGCCGGGTCTCTTCCCCTCTCCATGTAGAGCCAGAAGCCTTCTTCCTGTTCGCCATTTTTGCGCGAAAAATAATACTAGAACAAGTCTGGGGAACTGACAGTTTGGCGAAGTAGTTTGGCGTGGATTACAAGGTTACAAAGGTTCGATTTCAAACTGCGCGGGAGGTGAACTATGACCCCGAGTGCCCGGATGAATGACGTCATACAGCGTCATATGCCCGATCCCAATCCACTTCGCGTTCACACTCGCGTTTACGCCCGATCCCGATCCGCCGCAAGTGTCTTGAACTACCTCCCCGAGGTGGATTACTTTTGGATCGGGATCGGAGAAAATCAATCCCGATTGGAGCGTTCACACTGCCAAAACCGATCCGGATTGACTTCATTTGCATAATTTTGATCCGGATCGACAAGTTTCACTGTGAACGGGGTGCAAGTTTTACTGACGTGGTGTGTTCTTTAACGTGCCCAAGGTGTGGCTCTCCTCAAACACGGTACCTCAAACTTTACATCCAATGTCTGTATCCGATACAAATGCGGTGCCAAATGGCAACCGTAGCATGGAGGTTAATGGCTCTATCCTTAGTACTGAAACTGTGGTGGTTATTAACCTTCTGCCAGCTGCCAAACCCATAACCAATACAAATCTGGTGCCAAGTGGCAACCTTAGCATGGAGGTTAATGGCTCTGTCCCTAGTGCTGAAACTGTGGTGGTTATTAACCTTCCCCCTGCTACCAAACCCATAAAAAACACCTAACCTTAGCAGGCTGAGAGTTAACCAACTGCCCCCCTCCCCCCTCAGATATGACGTGGACCAGAAAGGCTACCTGACCCACGGAGAGTTTGTGGAGGTTCTGGGCTTAACCTTTGCCCCTAGCGACATGCACGGAACGAGCCGGCGAATCGTGGACGACAGCCAGGCGTTCCTGGACCAGCATCACCAGGGGCAACAGGCGCGCCATCAGCAGATCGCAGCCAATCAGATGAAGGCTGCGGGTCACATGACTGCCGCAGAGGTCGAGCAGCAGCTCAAGTAAGTTTTTTTTGAAATTCATATTTCTGATGTTAACTTATGATTTACATTTTTTTAAAATATATTTTACTTGACAAAAAATAGTCACAACTTTTTATAGCTTTTACGTCTGATTGTGCAAGCTAATTTTTATTGTGCAAGCTGATTGTGCAAGCTAATTTAGCATCCCAAATGTATTTTTCCCAGTGTTTCTTTAACGATTAGACTTAAAGAACGATAGAAGGAAATAAGACAGCAAAGAAAGCAAGAATTGTAGACGATGACGTGTGACAGTCTCTCACAATTACAACTGACAGAAAACGACTTCTAAAATCCTAAACCCACCCTAGTAGCCAAGGCATAACCTTTGACCGCTGTAGCCAAGACAAAACCTTTGACCCTTGTAGCCGAGGCATAACCTTTGACGGTTGTAGCCGAGGCATAACCTTTGACCCTTTGTAGCCAAGACAAAACCTTTGACCCTTGTAGCCGAGGCATAACCTTTGACCACTGTAGCCGAGGCATAACCTTTGACCCTTTGTAGCCAAGACAAAACCTTTGACCCTTGTAGCCGAGGCATAACTTTTGACCCACCCAGCATGCATTGCAGGCGAGGCGGCCGGAAGGCAGCCGTCGAGACATACTACTTTCGCGAGGAAACTCCGGACGAATACGCTCGCGAGGCCCTGTTCGCTGGCGGCGTGATCCCAGACTCGGTCAGGAGCAAAGCGTTCGCACAACGCGAGCCCTTTCCCCGAATGGAAAACAACGGAATGAAGGCGCGAGAGGTACTGATGGGAAACGGAGTCATCCCAGACCAAACGTACGCAACATCTGACGGCAAAATCAACGGCCTACCCTACCATGACAAATTTGCGTTTTTGAATGGCCACAGCTATGACACTGATCATCTCGAAGCCTTTCCCCAAAAGGGAAACAACGGAACGAAGGCAAGAGAGGTACTGATGGGAAATGGAGTCATCCCAGACCGAACACCGGAGCGAACGTACGCAACATCGGACGGCAAAGTCCTTCCCAGTCTACGCTACAACGACAAATTTGCGTTTTCGAATGGCCACAACTATGAGGGCAACTTCCACAACTCCCAAGCCAACATGAGGACATCCTTTAAGTTTGCAAATCAACTGACAAAAGTGAGTGGAGATTTTCTGGACGCAGGGATGGACAGAAGAAATGAAGACAGAAGGGAGAGAAAAGTGACGTTTGCCGACAAAGTCTCCGAGAACAAGCGGGCGAAACAAGTTCTCCTCGGCAACGGAGTCATTCCTGACTTCGATGAAGCTGAGAGCGAAAACGATGCGCCAAAAATTGGCAGAAAGTCAACTTTCAAACACGAACGCTCTGACTATAAGCAGAAGTTCCTCGACGCTGGGCTAATTTTTGAGCGTAACTCAACACCAGAATTTCTCACCAATGTCTCTCAAAAGAACCCACATCTTCCCAAGAGCATTTTAAACAAACACAACTCCTCTCGCCCTCTCAGGGAAGACACAAGACTTGACAGACACGCTTATGACCGACCTGACTTTGACAGAGCAACCTTAAGTCTTCAAGACACCTTCCCAACGTCTTATGACAAAAAGAAACCAGAGGAAGATGTCTTGAACAAGGAGATCAGGTTACGTCTTCTCGCAAATGGCATCATTCCTGAGACAGACACGTACAAGACACGGAGGCCCAAGAGGCAAGACTCCTTTAAGAAGCAACCGTACTCCAAGGAGGTGTTCTTGGGGCGCGGCCTTATCCCCGACCCTGACCTGAGACGTCTTAAGATGACCGAAGGACGTTCTTTAGAGTCTCGGCAGTTTCTTCAGGTGTTTGCAGAGATGCCCAGTACACCTGACTATTACAGGTTTGACATGGACAGAGTAGAGACTTCTTGGAGGCTGTGAAGGGGTTTTTAGAATATCCGGCTTCCGTGAAAATCAACTCCGGCATTTTTATATGAAATTTGTTCTGCTAAGGCAGCGTTTTTATAGCAAATTCAATTGTAATTCTAGTTGAATCTACAATTATTCACACCAGTTGGAAGTGCTTTAGAACCCCCTACACAGCCTTTTTCTAGCTGAAAGCATCTGTCAATGCAGTTAGCCCCCCACAGATGGCATTGATAGATGCGTTCTAAGAGGCTGTGAAAGGGGTTTTTAGAATTCCAGCTTGAGTAATAATGAAGGCATTTTTATCCAAACTTTCTTCTGTTCAGACAGCATTTTCACAGCAAATTGTCTTCAAATTCTGGTTGATTCTTATTAGTAATAAATTTTATACCATTATTCTTGATTGTTCATGCCAGTTGGAAGTGCCTTGAACCCCCTACACAACCTTCTCCTAGCGGAAAGCATCTGTCAATGCAGTTAACCCTACACAGATGGCATTGATAGATGCATCCCTCAGTAGTGACTATGACAATGACACTGACAGACTTGACAAATGTTGCAAAGCAGTTTTTCAAACAAATCTACCTAGTATACTTAGTAACAAGATTGTCTTGTGTTGCAAAAAAAGTAGCATGTGATGTGTGTTACAAACAGGTTGACATTTTGTACCCGTTTCAAACCATGTGTGTTATACAATGCCTCAATTATGCTCTCAAGGCAAAAAGTTAACAGTAGAATATTCTTCAATCAGTGACTGTTTTTAAAAGGTAGAAATCAGTGACTCTTTAATGAAAGGTAGAAACATGTGCCTCCAAATTTTCGATGTCCACTGTATATTTTGTACGTCTTGATCACGAAGTGACCTAGTCTCACGAAAACACGAGACTAGGTCAAGTCTTTAGACTTGTGCCGATCTGAAGAGTATTCTACTAAGTGTTAATTTTACGTTAAGGGTACTGTTAATTTTAAGTGACTGATGAACATCTTCAAAGAAAGCCTTATATCTTAACTGACATCTTAAACCTGTTCCTTCACAGGGATAAGTTCCGAGAATACTACCAAGACTTTGACAAGGCATTCCGCAAGGCAGACTTTAACAAGGACGGAACAGTCGACATCCGAGAACTTCAGAGGGTTCTTATAGAACACAACTTCTTCTTGGAGGAGGAGCAGTTCTTCGAGCTGTTGGACAGGTGAGTCTTTTTGGGTATACCTGCTGCTGTATTTAAGTTAAAGTTAAAGAGCCTTCTCGCATCCAGTGACACATAGGGCGGCGCCCATCTCCGTTCATTAGCCCTGGGCCACACACAGCAGTCACTACAGTAGGGGCTAGTCCACTGGCAGTGGTGTGTGTTTAACTTCCATACTCTTCCCCAAATGCTGAGTGCTAAGCAGAGAAAGAAGTATGTACCTTTATTAAAGTCTTTCGTATGACCCGGCCGGGGTTTGAACTCACGACCTCCCGGTTACAAAGCGAGCACTCTACCAATTGAGCTATTGCTGCTGTATCCAGGACTGTAAACAATTCAGTACCAAGGACAGGCAACTAACTTCCTGCCTAGGTCAGTAGTTACGTGCCTGTCCATGGTACTGAATTGTTTATGGTTCTAATCTAAACATAAGCCACACAGACCCTTGCAACAGTTCCATAAAAAATGTGTTGAGAAAATATGTGTATCATGTGTATTATTTGATTGTTTGGTGACTATCAATTGTAAACTGATTGTAAACCCTGCATCACTTCAGCTGTGTAAAGGCTGTGATTGCACGGGTACCGATAAAAAAAAACATTTTAACTAGAGAAGTAACATTTGCAAAGCAAATGCATAATGTTTACCTTCGGACATGGTCTGCTCTATCAATTCTTACTCAAACACATTCACATACATGTATTACTAGTATATGGTGACAGGGGCAGGGCAGACAGTGAAATTGCAACATTATGTAACCAAACACCAGTCACCATGGTGGCAGACGTCAACAAATCAGGTCATTGGCTAGGTCAGAGGTTAGTGTTTGGAGAAGAAGAAGAGGAAACTGAGCAAGAACAATATGTTTTCCTTCGGTAAACATACAAATTGGACCACTTTTCTTTGTCCGCAGACTTGGCCTGTCACCAGAGAAGGGGAAGCTGTCTTACCCAGACTTCCTCAGGGCCATCGACGACGGAAGGGCCTCCAAATATGGGCGTAGGAGGTCGGGGGTCACCATGGAGGAATACGACGGCCTTCCCGCGGAAAAATCGCTCGAGAAGCTCCGCGAAAAAGTCGCCGCAAACTTCGTCGTCGTCGAAAAGGTGGGTTAAGTTATCTGACAACTAGAAAGGTAACATTTGCAAAGCAAATGCATAATGTTTACCTTCACACATGGTCTGCTCTGTTAATTCTTACTCAAACACATTCATATATATGGTCAGACAGGAGTCTAAATCCCTCCTGCTATAAAATTGCAACATGATGTAATCCAAAACTAGTTCTTTGGTGAGAGACAGTCTGGTTCACGTCATTGACCAGGTCACAGGGCACTGTTTGGAGAAGAAGAAGAAACCATTCAAAAGCAAAAACGATTCCTTAGTAAACATAATGAGAGATGGCAGACTTCACTTCCTTATTTACCTGTAGCTGTAATTTTGCAAGAGGAGGGAAAAGAACTTCGAAGTTCAGGGCTTTTGCTGTGACTTTGGCAGAAAAACTGTGACTCAGACCTTTCAAAACATGGCACATTCTAATCCAACTTTTTAGTATTGCTGTAACCATGTGTCAATGTTATTGTTATGTGTGGCAGTTGTATGCTGTACTGTTTTATGTGATGGAAAAATAGCGAACCAATTGCAAGCTAAATGTGGATCCAAATAAAGTCAAAGTCTGACTTTCCCATTTTATCCTCCAGGCTTTCAACGCATTCGACAAGGAGAGCACAGGGAAAGTCAAAGCGTCAGAGTTTCGGCGAATCATCGACCATTTCTGCTTCAAGCACTCCGACAAACAGTTCCGGGCTCTTCTGGCCAAACTCAAGTTCCACTCAGACAACACCATAGACTGGAGGGCCTTCCTCGACGACTTCAAGAAGAACGAACAAGAGGTTGGGCTTCCAACTTTCTTATTATTTGTCTTAAATGAGTGAAGAGACTCTTTTTACACGTCAACCAAGTCTTTTATTCGGCTGACGTTTCAGTGACCGTCTGTCACCTTCCTCAGGGCAATTCTGACTGGTTCACATTGCACTCACTCACTCACTCTTACTCACTCACTCTTACTCATTCACTCACTCACTCACTCACTCTTACTCATTCACTCACTCACTCACTCACTCTTACTCATTCACTCACTCACACACTCACTCTTACTCATTCACTCACTCACTCACTCTTACTCATTCACTCACTCACTCACTCTTACTCATTCACTCACTCACTCACTCTTACTCATTCACTCACACACTCACTCTTACTCATTCACTCACTCACTCACTCTTACTCATTCACTCACTCACTCACTCACTCTTACTCATTCACTCACTCACTCACTATCTGGTTTAGCATCTGTTATTCCTTGAATTCCGAGGGTTAGACGTGCATACACTGCAATACTTGATGGCAGCTAGCCACTTTCCTCTAAACAAACGAATAACCAAACTGTATTTCCCCACAGGCCACCCAGAACTGGCTGGAGGATGTTCAGAAAGCTGCTAAGCCAGTCACTCAGTCACTATCTGCATGGTTTAATTTAGCATCTGTCGTTCCCCGAATATCGAGGGTTAGACGTGCTTGCACACCTGTGACGTTATTCTAAACAAACAAACAAATAAACAAACTGCAATTTCACCCACAGGCGACCCAGAACTGGCTAGAAGATGTTCAGAAAGCCGCCAAGCCGAAGTCCCCACAGGAACTGGCGATGCAGGAGGTCCAGTCCAGAGTACAGGAAGCCGTCAGTGCTCGGTTCTACGCCTTCGCACGGTCCTTCGCGGAGGTCGACTACGCCAAGATTGGGGTCGTCGCCAAGGAGGACTTCCGAGACATCCTGAATAAGAACGCCATAAGACTTTCAGACGACCAGGTGAGAAGTTTTCTGAAAGGATTTTATTTTATTTTCTGAAAAGATACACTGTTAGTTCTTTTTACACAACCAAATAATTACCTTGCTGATGTTTCGGTGTCTATCAGACACCTTCCTCAGAGCTTCTGACTGAAGTTCTGCTTCTCGCCGCAAAAGCGCCACCTACATCGGCTACATATAGCGGCGAGTTGCAGAACTCCAGTCAGAAGCTCTGAGGAAGGTGTCTGATAGACACCGAAATGTCAGCATGGTAATCATCTTGGTTGTGTAAGAAAAACTCTCCTATACTTTACCAACCTGATAAAACTATTTTTGGAAGTGAGAAGTTTTCTATCATCTTGCTTCCTGTTCTAGGAGGTTATGATCTTTAACCACCATCAAGCACAGTTCTGGATTGTCTACGCATATCCAGAACCTTGCTTTATCTAGGACCATGCACATCCCACATATTTTTACACTTAAGGTCTTGTGAGGTCTAAAACGTTGTACGTTTCCCCACACAGTTTGACCAGTTGTGGGAGACGATGCCTGTGAACGAGTTCGGGAACGTCGTTTACCGAGAGTTCCTGAAACAGTTCTCGACCGAGCGTACCCGAGGCGCGGAGTTGCCCCCCTCCCCACCGCCGACCCCCACCCCGTCCGAGACCCCCTCAGCCATGGTGTTCGCTCGACGGCCCGCCACAGCCACCACCCCCAAGTCAGGCAGAATGGTACGTTCCAATTTCAATTTGTTCATCGATGAAGGTTAAGAGATACTAAAAAAAGCAGTTACTCAAAATTGAAATTTGAAACATTTGCCCCCAACAGAGTGTTCTGCCACTGGAAGGGCATCAAAAAGTTATCATTGCAATTTTCGACCACTTTTTCCCCATTATACATGTAGACCACTTGTTACGGTGTGATAACTGATGGGAAAGAGAGGCTCCTATATGATAATAACTCACCAAGGTCGCTTCTTTTCCTTAACCTGTACAAAATTGAAATTTGATACCTTTGCCTTGACAGAGCGTTATGAGCGACAGACCTGCGTCCCGTGTGTCACGACCTTTCACCCCTCTGGTGAACGCTCAGGGCGCGGAGCTGCGTATGAAAGATCGAGTGTTCCGCCACTGGAAGGACATCCAGCGTCTCTGCAAGAGTCGGGACCCTGAGAACAAGGGAGAAATCTACATGGAGGACTTCAAGGGTAAGGAGATAAATGTTTTGATGATGTTAAACTAAGCAAAACATGATTCAGAGCCAACACAATATCTTTCCCCAGCATTTTATTTTATTGTCAGTAATATGTTCATTTTATTGTTCTTAAATATATGCGAACCAATAAACAAACAAACAAACACAAGCATCTGTGAGCAAAACTGACACCCTGAATACTAAATTAAATGCACTTGTGAGTCCAACCTAATTTCTCCACCCCCTTCCCGAACTTGATCAGCTTAGGGATGCTTATATTAGTTGAAATACATGCTAAAAACAGGATATAGAATTTTCTTCTTACACAACCAGTAAGGTTCTCTCCTGCTTACGTTTCGATGTCTATCAGACACCTTCCTCAGAGCTTCTGACTGGAGTTCTGCAACCCTTACTGGTTGTGTAAGAAGAAAATTGTGTATCCTAAGTATCTTCCAACCTGATGAAATTATTTACGGACATGCTAAGAACAATATATTTGATTCATACCTTTGTTGCACCAGGCCATACAATGTAATTTCTCCGCCCCCCCCCCACAGCAATCGTGGAGAGTTTCAACATCTACCTTGCACCGGACGACCTTGACCAGCTGCGGATTAAGTACGACATGCGGAACAACGGGAAGTTCTCGTACAAGGCCTTTCTGCGACACTTCCTGCTCCGACTCAAGCCGCAGCAGGAGGGCATTCTGCAGAGGAAGAAACTGCAGACTCCGCGATTCAGCGTAAGTACCTCTGTGAAAATCTTTGGCTTCAGAACCCACCCATACCCAAAATAACCTTAAGGTTGACGTCTTTTTAACAGGGAGAACCCAAACTTTCCCGGTTCAATCTCCAGATGAACCCTGGAGAACCTGTTGTGTCAGTAACTAATTGCATTCTGCAGAGGAAGAAGCTGCAGACTCCTCGCTTCAGCGTAAGTACATAACACTTAACCCTTAATATAACGGGTTGCAAATACAGTACCATGCAGTCAGTAGTATTCAGTATGGCCTAAAGGAATTCCTTTAGACATCAAATCTCACATCTCACTTCAGCATAAATCCTGCTCCTTTAGACTTACCCAACACCAGTTACCATGGTGACAGACGTCTGGTCCTGGACCTTGACCTTACTTGTTTGGAGAGAAAGAAGAAACAGAGCCAAAACAATATGTTGTCCTTCTGCAAATGTTAAGTTATACTAGAAAGGTAACATTTGCAGAGCAAATGCATCATGTTTACTTTTGCATATGGTCTGCTCTGTTAATTCTTACTCAAACACATTCATATATATGGTCATACAGGAGTATGAATCCCTCCTACATGTACCATAAAATTGCAACATTATGTATCCCAACACCGATTACCACGGTGAGAAATGTAAACAGATCGGTTCATCGGCCAAGTCAGAGGTCAGTGTTTGGAACAGAAGAAGAAGAGGAAACGTAGCAAAAACAATATTTTAACTTTTCCTTTGATAAACATAAAATGATCATCAAACTATGTTCTGTGCAGGTGAAGCAGGGTGCAGAGAGCAGCCTCCTGTACGACGCGATGCTGCGAATGCGAGATGTCATCATGTCAGAGTGGCAGCGAATGCGCCGAACCTTCCGCGCGATCGACGCGAAGGGCGAGGGTTTCGTCTCCCCCGTCGACTTCCGTCAAGTCCTCAAGGAATACGGCATCAACCTCTCAGAAGAAGAGTTCTTTCATCTAATGACTTTCTATGACAAGGGGATGGTGGGGAAAATCTCGTACAATGATTTCCTAAGAGCCTATCTGTCACAATAAGATGTTTAGAGTTAAAACTTTAGATCCAACACGGAAAGTTCTCTCACCTAGAGCTTTCAACCAGTCACTCTAGTCTTCCTCAGTAGACTGATGACCCAGTGAGGCTTGTCATGTGGCTTCTTTGAAGTGTGACGTCAACACTGGGTCAGTCTACTGATGTTTAGTGTTAAAACTTTTGATCCAACACAAAAAGTTCTCTCACCTAGAGCTTTCGACCAGTCATCCTCAGAAGACTGACCCAGTGAGGCTTGTCACGTGGCTACTGAGAAGGAAGACCAGTGACTGGTCGAAAGCTTTAGGTATCTGTCACAGTAGGCCCCATATGGTCTGTGCTACCGATTGACTTCCAAAATCCAACAGGTCTTCAAATGAGTATGGCATCAATATCTCAGAAGAGGAGTTCTTTCACTTGATGACTTTCTATGACAAGGGGATGGTGGGGAATCGTACGATTTCTTACGAGCCTATCTGTCACAAAAGGACGCCTGTACAAGATGTTCTCTCAACTAGAGCTTTCGACCATGTCTAACCTCCATTGACGTAAACAGCTAGGATGTTATATAATATAATTGGAGTAGTGACGTTTTAAAGTTGTTGTGCTGTTTGTCAGTTTGTGATGTTTTTGTGTGTGAAACTGTCTTGCTGAAACTGATTGAACATCGACTTTGGTTAAGTTTTGAAGGAAAAAAAACAGCATTTTGTAACTGTTACATTGTGAATGTGACAAGTTGGAAGCCATAATGTTAATGTTTGTAGCTTTGTGAAGCTGACAGCATGTGTACAGATAAGGAATGTACTTAGTATTACTACAAGGCAATCCTACCAAAGAATGTGAAACTGTATTTTCACACTTATGTATTAAGGAACTAGTAAGATAGGAAATGTATTGTTAAGGGAGGGAGGAAGACAGACTAAGCTTGCTTATAATCGTAGCCAAAAAAGAAAAAAGAGTTCTTAGAGCATAAATAGAATGGATCAGAAATAGCTTGTAGAATTCCCCCCCCCCCAAAAAAACTCTAGAATGAATAATTATCAAATATTATGCATGTGCAGCTGCCAAATACTAGACTAAGTATGCCATCTTCCATCTAGTTTACAAGCATATTTTGAAACAAATAATCATAGATAGCTTCAACAAGGTTTGTTGTACAACATTACTTGTAAAGGTCTGTAATAAGTATTAAGAAATAATAAATGGTATATTTGGAAGATAATATGCAAAATGTATCTTTGTACATTCTGCACAGTGTACTTTTAACTGTGTACTTTAAATTTGAGAACATAGTTTATAAGGTAATTGGAACCATTACAGAACTATGTAGTTTTGAAAATCAATGTCTTCTAAAATAATGCAATGCTTAATGCAGCAATATATTTCTAAACAACTCTTTTAATGATAGATATATTTCTATGCTAATTATAACTGCTTAGCTTTTGCATTATTAGGTACTAAATCTATATTTTTGCATGTAAAGGTTGGATCATTGTATTGTAGCCTTTTCAGCCCCAAATATTAACAATTAGAATATTTTGCTTGACTGGATCATAGATATAGAATATATCTATTTTAGATTGTGGACTCCGACTGATAGCTTTAAACAAAACTTGTCCTGAAGTTGTAAGTTGTAAGTTTACATCTGACAACATCAAAACAAGTAATATTATTTTATGTGATGAACGTTAAAAAGTGTTGTGTGAAAGAATCTGTAAATATGGTTTGATTTTGACAGAGTGAAAAAGACTGGATGACAACCAAAGGAGTGAATAAATCTGTCACTTTACATTCTGTTGTTTTCCGCAGCAGTCTTTGCAACTTGTTATCATAAGCATGACTTGTTATGATTTCAAAACATTCAAATGTTTATGGTATACATACACAGACTCACGTGTAACTAGCCTATTATTACTGCTACTATGTATTATGTATATACATTAATTTTGTAACTGTATGTCTGAACACTATACAAACTTAGCACCTACTCAACAGTTTGACTGAGGACTATATGAACTTATAAGATAGTAATATATAGCTAACTCAACAGGTTGTGTAACAACTATATGAACACAGAAGTAACTCAACAGTTTTTTGACCACTATACAAACTCATAACCAACTTTACAACGAGTCTAACCACTATACGAACTAACTCAACAGAATAAGTCTGAAAACTAACGTAGCTTTATACATGTAGTATCTATTGCCTAATATGGAACCTCGGTGTTAAAAAAGCATCAATCCTACAAATACTTACCTAATATTGTAACAAGTCTCAACTTAAACTAGGACAGAATCTTGTTTTAAAGTTAACTTTCTCAGAGATGAGTTGAAGGGGAATAAGTAGACAAATTTGGGAGCTGAAATCAACTCAATGATTCGGGTGTTTCTGTCCTTACACCTTACTTCTATCCCTAACATGTCATGTTCACAACAACTCACTACTGTACAACTGGTCTTCCCAGAACCATCTTGTTTTAAAGTTAACCTTCTACATGCTGCCTAACTCCATAACAAAGTTATAGGGACGTTACTAGAAATTTGCCAACTAGATAAATCAACTTGATAATTTGTGTTAGTCTGTCCTTACATAATATCTTCTACCATTTACCTGATACAAACAGCACAATAAAGGATGATTTGCGTCCTCTACTACAACATATGATTGTTTAACAATCACAACTTTGACAGTAAAAAAATATGGTTAACTCTCAAAATACGCTATTAACAGTTAGAATGCAATATGAAGTACAAACTTTGGGTGATTTTTTTTTGCATTTGTAGTAGATTTCACTCACTGGTGTTTTTTTAGATCTACTGCTACAAGGGGATTTCTTTGCCCATGACTGTTCCAGACTTAAACAGCTGTCTCTACTTATCTTTCAAATTAACGTTAGTTCTTGCGATTATTGTGCAAATAAAAGTTGTCATTTTTCTTTTACTCCCTAAATTTCTTCTGCTACTAGGGGAATTCAGCTCAGAAGAGTAAGATCTGTAAATACCGGTACCCAAAAGATTTTATGTGTACCTAATTTTTTAGCCTGTTCCCAAAAATGAATTTAGAGCCATGTCCTGGTATTCTTCTGCTACTAGGGGAATTCTCTGACTGTTCCAGACTTGACTAGCTGTCTCCACTTGTCCTTAAGGTTAACGTTAGTACGGTTCTTGTGTAAATGAAAGTTTGTTTTCTAATTGTACTTTTTTGTAGTAGATTTTACTAAAGGTTTTACAGTAACTAGATTTTGCTTCTGCTACTAGGGGAATTCTCTGACTGTTCCAGACTTGACCAACTGCCTCCACTTATCTTTAAGGTTAACATTAGTACGGTTCTTGAAGCGGTAATTGTCCAGAATCTCAGACCAGTGACCCACGCCGTACTCCTGCACGCCTTTGATCAGGTTTTCCACCTCGTATTCGGCCCACCTGAACCGGGAGCGGACTTGTCCTTTGCTGGTGATGTCTAACGGTTCTCTCTTCTGTACTAGCCGGCGGGGTACGACAAGACTGGCCGCGCTGCAGGGCAGGGCGCTAGGAAAGTTCTCGGAGCTGTCAGAATCCGAGTCATAGATGTAGTACTTCTTCTTCACCTAACAAAATATGATAACAACTAGTAAGGTATCATGAAAGTTCATCTGTGTTGGTAGTGACATGTTTAAAGTTAATAATAATAGTAATGGTTTCTATTGTCCAAATAGTACCCGTGCAGTTGCAGCCTTTAACGGCTGAATTGATGCAGGGTATCACATAATAATCAATATACATAATCAATACAAATCACAACAAACAAGTAATACACATGATAACACATATGTTTGCTCCACAATTTTTTGTGGAACTGTCGCAAGGGTCTGTGCGGCTGCCATTCGGCGCCACAAGGTGACCTCAATACGACTTTCCCCAACCGAAGTTAGGTACCCATTCACACCTGGGTGGAGTGAGGAAAGTCGTGTAAAGTGCCTTTCCCAAGGGCACAACGTCGGGCGCATGTCCAGACATGTACCGGGTACGACTCGGGTTCGAACCCGGGTCTCCCGGTTCACAGTCGAATGATCTACCACTACGCCACCCGACGCCACAATTAAGACTTTGGTCCAACACAAAAAAATTCAAGGGGCCCTGACAGGAAACGTACATTGGGGAAACAGAGAGGTCTCTAAAAGCTATGTTTCAAGAACATACACGGCCTAGCTCTGCCAGTTCAGAGGTGTCTCAACACATCCACATCCACATCCACGTCACCCGGACATTTTGTTTCACTTGACACTGTAAGGATTTTAGACACCAGTCACTCTGGTCTTCCTCAGTAGACTGACCCAGTGAGGCTTGTCACGTGGCTTCTTTGAAGTGTGACGTCAACACTGGGTCAATGGGGATCCTAATGGAGATCCTATTAAAACAAACAAACAAACAAACAAATAAACAAACCGGCGCTCGGAATGTCTCCTCATCAGAGCTCCAAGTCTCCTTCACCCCGTTTCCGTACTCCGGTCTGTCCCTCGGTCTTTTCTTCGATCCTTGCGTCACGTTCTCCTTCCGTGTCTCCTCTTCTGATGATTCGCTGTCACTTTCCACCAGTGTTCGTCGCTCCGCCTGCTTGTGGACCTTCTTGCGAACCCCGCTTGTGGAAGGCTGGTCACTCGTCATCCAATCTGAATATTCAAGATTAAAGATCACTTTAGTGAACATTACAGTAGGGCAACTAAATTAAGTCCAATTTCTTCTTTTTATCCAATTTTTTCCCAAAAACTGGAAGTGCTTACACCAAGTGCAATTTTTTTCTGAAGCAAGATCTTTTATACGGCTGGATGCCCTTCCTAACGCCAACTCAACAAACAAAGTTTAAAAGCAATTCACTACAAACTAATTATAGCATGACCCACAACACCAACCCACAGGACAGAGACAAGTGGCGAGCTGCCATTAAGCCCCAGATGTACTGTGCAAGCACGTCTAACCCTCGGAAGACGGGGAACAACAGGCGATAAACCGGACAGTGAGTGTGAGTGAGCAAGATGCATTGGCTAATATTGCAATCTATAACAATAACTTGCAATGATTAAAACTGGCGCAACACCCCGAAAGAACATACACTGTACACAGTAGTAAATATTCAACTGTTCATATAGAAAAGCACATATTTACATCTGATGTCTTTTCCAGTGTCTCCTGATTTCTGCATCCGTCCCGGATTGTTTCGGTCGGTGGAAGGGGCAGACGTTGTCTGGGTTTTCTTGCGGTTTTCTGTCTTCTCGAAGTTTTCTTCATCTGTTTGCTGTTTGCGCTTCTCTCCACGGCTCTGCACAGCTGCAATAAACGATAAATAAATAATAAACAATAATCTTTCAGGTCACATTCCAAAAAACAGGTTGGGACAGTTCATCCTCACTTTGGGACAACTGAAATTTATTTTTGGGACAGCGCTGGGACAATAGGAAGAAAAGTTAATTTTGAGGCCTGAATTATTGCACGCCTTTATGTACAGTATAAAAATAATGGTGGTTGTTTACTTGGTTCCCTGTTTGTGTACATGTTTACCTGTACTTACAGAATGTAAGTGAGGGCTACAAACCTCCATGTGTGGCAAACTCATGACGTCCCGTTGTCTCTGACGATGTTTTCTTCCGAGGGCTTCGCCTTTCTGTTGGCTCCGAGTTTTTTGCTGCTTGCTGGTGTTTCCGTGGACTCTTTCTCACACCAGATCCAGATGTTTTCTCTTCGCGGTTTTGCTCCAAATCCTTTCAAATGTAAAGTTACGTGTTAGGTTGTATGTAAATAATGTTTCCATTTTGATGTAGTGTATTTGTATGATGCGCTATATGTTAACTCCAGGAAGACTAGCTGCATACCTGATTCTGTACTTGTATGTTTGCTAATGGAGATCGTGTAGCATAGCGGCAGAACTTTCTACTCAGAACCAAGAGGTCCTGGGTTCAACCCTGTCACCGATCCTGTGCCCTTGGGAAAGGCTTTTCACACGACTTTCCTGGATGGAGGCCTGGCGAACCCCATCTTGCATTAGCCACAAAAGGCAGCAGAATCTTCATCAGCTAGTTGAAGGCAGCTGGCTCAAAATGAAAGAAGAGAAGAAGAAAAGAAGGAGAATTAATAAGGCACCTTCTCAGAAGCAGCCCCGGATGTTTTAGCTTCTCGGCTCTTCGCCAAATCCCCGCGAAGGTTACGGTAGTCGTATCCGTTGACGTCTGTCCACTCTGACCCCGATCTCTCCTCCTTAGCCATGACCAGAAAACACTCCCGCAGCAGTGCAGGGGAATTGAACACAAACTCTTCTTCCTGCTCCTTGGGAGGTGCTTCGTTCTCAGACGGAGTCTCGTACATGTCAGAATCACTCTCAGATTGAGACAGGCTTTCTTCTGGTGCTGTAAAGTACAACACAATACACATTGATTTATTATTTCACAGTCAAGTACAAGTAAAAATAGAACAACAGTGCTTGTCTTGCCTTTGGGGGTTTGCTGATGATTCTGCTACACTGTAGAGTTGGGCTGTAGAATTTGGACCATCGCACACCGGGGCATGCCCCTAGTCCTTTTCAAAAGGTTCTTTAACGTGTGGGGTATGGCTTTCTCCAAACAAAGGGACCTCCATTTAATGTTCTTCCTGAGGGATGTCCCTAACTGAAGCTAGGTACTCCAAAGTCTAACCAGCCTGAATATTTTTTTTTCCATCATCTCAATTTAGTTTCACATGCAGGTAATTTTCAAGGTTAGCATCCTGTACCAGTGCAGGTATACAGAAATGAGGGTTTGAGCTCTACAGTGCTCACAGATATGAGAAAACAAAATATGTCCCCAATAAGCAGGAAAAAGTTGGGAAGAATACAAGACCTCTGCTGTGGTCTTGCTTTTGGACGGCTTGTGCTGCTATACCTGACCCCTACACTGTGAAAAAATGCTGGTGACAACCCTGCTAGAGATAGCCAAAAAAAAAAGATAATCCCTACCTACCGACCCTATTTTTTTTCAGGACTAAAACACAACATTTTTTCCCTCTGCCCTACCCTCTGTTCCGTCCCCAGCCTCTATCCTGGCCCTCAGGACCCGCTGGGCAGCTTTCAGTAAAAACCTTTTTCCACAAAGGTGTGGCTGTTTAACGTGTGTGGTATGGCTCTCCCCAAACACGGGACCTCCATTTAATACCCTACCTGAACCTGAGGGACGTCCCTAACTAACTGTAGTCTGTCTACCTTCTGTTCCGTCCCCAGCATCTATCCTGGCCCTCAGCACCCGCTGGGCGGCTTTCAGGAGGAACGGCAGCGAGAATCCGTCCACGATGAGGTGCAGGAACTGGATCATCCAGGTGAGAAACTTGTCGTACGAACACCTGACCTGAACCAGAGAGTGGTCAGGGTTCCCTGACCTCATCACCTCCTGGACCTGCAAAACGGATGTTCAGATACAAAGTTATTTATTTATTTTTTATTATTTCCAACATGTAATCACCAGACGTGGTGACGGCACACTCACGTTTTTCAACTTATATTAATGCCGCCACCAACACAGGGGACAATACAGTATTTTCACCTTAGCGAAGTGAGGAAAGTGTAGTTACACAAATATCAGCCCACCTTTGAGCGGAGTTTCTTTCTCTTCGCAGTCGTCGCAGCTCCAGGCACCCAGACCCTAGAGAACACCTGCAGTGGTACAAATACCGGTACATGTACATTCAGTGTGATGCAATATTGCAGAATGTCCAAAACTTTGTTGTGCAATTCAGAAATAGTTTCTGCAAATACGTGTACAATACACACCTATACCTCTGGATCTAATCCCAATTGGCATTTACAAAATTGCATGTTGGCGAACATTCAAAAAATTTAATGCATAATGTTGATTTGATTTTGATCTGATTTATTGAAATTGCTACAGTGCAATACACAGTCAACAAATCAGGTCATTGGCCAGGGTCAATGGTCAGTGTTTGATACAGAAGAAGAGGAAACTGAGCAAAAACAAAATGTTTTCCTTCGGTAAACAAAAATCCTGACCTGCTCTGCAGCCTGGAAGTCTCCCCCCCTACAGCACACCAGCACACTCTGTGTCATCACCAGACCGCGAGCCTCGGACACTTGGTCCTCCGGCACCGCGAAGTCGGACACCAGACTGTCGAAGATCGGCAGTGCTGACTCCAGAGCTGTGATGTCACCGTCTTCCTCATACCTGCAAATAAAAATAATCATGAACTAGAAACGCAGACATTTGCTCTGGGGCAAATGCAGCAAATACCTTCACCATATTACCAAAAGGTATTGTCTGTCCTGTATGTATTTGTTTCTATGTGTGGGACACACCAGCAATCAAATCAAATCAAATTTCTGGACTGTTCCAAAAAATAAATGCCAAGGGAGAAGAAGAAGAGGTCTAAAATTATCTTTAGTTCCTTCCCACGTTGTAAATATTATTCAGAATTTCTACAAACCCTACCTCTAAACTATTCAGTCTTGGACCAGCCCGCCCCCCTCCCCATAATAGGGAAGCAAGCAACAACACTCCAAACTTTCAAGCTGCAACATTAAAACCGTTACTCCCCCTACCCAAAACTTCCTTGGTATTCAAGCTCATATTCTTGCAAAACTCTACGACAAGATAGGGAGGAAATTTATTAATTTTTACGTACCGAGTTGTGTAGTCTTTCCCGTCAGCCAATCGGCTCAACAGTTGGATGAGCTTGATTCGCTTCTGCCTCTCTGGAGTGGACTCCACTTTTCCCGCCAACAAGTTCTGCAGAAAGTCCCTGCAGGTGTAAAAAGAGTCGTCTAACGACGAGAAGTGGATCCAGGCCATGTGGCACAGGAATTCTAGGATCCAGCCGTGGGCGACGGCAACCTCCACGTCGAAAAGCGGGTTATTTTTTTCCGCCATGTTTTCAAAACCGACCTCGTCTGGCTGTGACGTCACGCGGAACTGCGGTGCGATCGGTACTAGTTTTGCGCTCTCTTGCGGAAATAATGGGAACTGCAGAAAACGCACAACAGAAGGCGTCATATACATGTATTAGCCTCTACCAGGCTTGAGGGCTCGGCTGAAAATAGTAGAAATTGGCCAAATAGAGAGATAACACGCCGAAGGAGTTTAGCCATCCAGAGGGGC